ATAGTTTAAATTTAGTCTCTGCACACACTGGCAAAACAAACAAACAAACACAAAAAACACCAGCACATAGAAGACTCAGTCTTAATCAGGGTCTGCATTGAAGAGCACCTGTCATATCATTTGTTATGCAGTCATGCAACGTTTCCCACCTTCATCATAAAATATTACATCTGTTTTTAATTCATAATGATCTATAAACCACAAATCTAAGCTTGTAGTTACACAAACTCAATTACCTCTAAATCCAGTTCAAATGTGATGGCAAACTTTTCAGCCTCTTCAAACATGTGTTTGTGAAGAAGCCTGCTCAGCCTAGAAATAAAGAGTAGTCACATTAAGTGAAATTACATCAACATCATATAGACTATAATGTCATAAACTTGAATTAAATTAGGTACCTGTTTTCAGGTAAAGCCTCTGTGAAGGATCGAACAACCACAGAAGCGACTGGCTCTCTTCGACTATTTGAAGAGCAAGAAAAAAGTTTAATGTTGGAACGGTAAGCAAAGGCCGATCATCACAATAAAACTCACTCAGACATAGCCCACCTCTCTGGGTTCTCACAAATCCCCTCGACTAAATAAAATGCATCCTGGAATCACAGAAAAAAAAAAAGGCAACCAACTTTAACATGAAGAAATCTCAACAGACAGAAATTGCAGTAGCAAAATTAATGCAACGCTTTACTTTGTGTTGACCGTTTACCATGTTTATTTTTGTGTGGACGAGACAGGAGACAAAGGATACATCCAGAGAGTAGCAAACAGTCATAGAGGGCAGGAATCGTATTTGCAGTGAGCTGATCTGAAAAATTCAAACCCAACATAACGAGTTCAGAGCAGAACTCAGAGCAGAACTCTGGGAAATCATCCGTTAAAGCTTCTTAAAACTAATTTGTACTTCTACCTGACTGTTGTCTTGCTTTGTCAGCATGATCATCTTCATGCTGCCTTTATCTTGGCTGTAATACACACATGAATGAACATTTTCAAAACTGTTTTAACAAACAGTGCATGTTTACAGCTACAGTACGTTGTAAAACAGTGATACGTACGCCACCATGGAGGCAGAGCCACATTCTGCAGTGAGCTGAAAGTCATGAACGGCGAGTTCTGGCCAACAGTGAATCATGACAAGAAAGTGCAGATCCCAAAGACTCAGAACATCCTGAGACACAAGAAATAATCCAGGATAGATTTCAAACTCAAATTCTGATTGCTCTAAAAGTTCGAACTGTTTTACAAAGCAGGATCTCACCTCAGTGTCGAGGATGTACAAAAGGTTATCCACCACCACCATCTTCCTTACACCTGCAAAGACACAAAAACAGCTCCTAAAATCATCACTTCTTAACATTTTGCTTATATAACCATGGATTTCTCTCTGTGAAACAAACGGCAGTGGATGGAGCAAAGTTTGCTTTTCTTCATGTCTGAGATTATTGATCAGGTTGATGAAGTAATCCTGCTCGCTTTTTCCCAGTAAAGATTTTTAATGCTGTTCACGGGAACAGTGCTGCTGTTTTGGATACTAGAAACACGTTTTCTTTCTCCCCACCTGAGCCTCACCACCTTGGTAACAGCCCTGCCTCTTTGCTCTTCGCGGTGTATAAACAGACTCCGGCACCACATTAAACTGTGGTGGCCCGTCATCACTGCTGCTGTGTTATCAGTGTTTCTGTTTCAAACTGGGGACTGTGTGAACTTAACGTTGTCACTTTTTATTCACACGCTGCTCCGAAATAAGTTTCTATTTGCAGGTCTGTTTTTAGTCACAAATGTGGGTGAAATGTTCAGGTTTACATCATTTATTACAACAGCAGCCTACAGAGCCGTGTGCTAAATGAAGCGTCGAAGCAAAGAAGTTGCGTTTAGAATTTTTTTCAGAATCGAATTATTCTAGTTACTCAATGAATCGTTGCAGCCCTACTTCCAAAAAAAACGTAATGTAATGCAACACTTGGGAACTGAGAGCACTTACCCGGAATTAAGTTCCTGTCGACGGTCTGAGCAAAGCACATCTTAGCTTGATGAGGGTCCATCCTCCAGTGAGTCAAAACATTTTCTTTATCCCCCTGTCAAGATGAAAATATTGTTGTACATGATATAATGAAACGCTTGCTTTATGTTATATGAGGACTACCAAATATTTAAAATGCACTGACAAAACTGTGAGCACGAGGCAGCTGATTTAGAATGACTCTGATTTAAAGACATATACACAGTCATGGCATATGTGAATGTTTTTTTGTGCAGCACTACTTCCACGAACATATTACTAAATGAGGATCAATGAGTTCAGTGTACGCACATGGCCTCCGATTCACCAGAGCTCAGTTCTATTGAGCACCTTTGATATGCAGTAGAGAGTCACATCATGGATATGCAGCTGACAAATTTTCAGCAACTGTGTGATGTGATTATGTCACTATGGATCAGATCTCTGAGGAATGTTTCCAGCACCTTGTTGAATCTATGCCGCAAAGAATTCAAGCAGCTCTGATAGCAAAAGGGGTCTAACCCAGTCCTAGCAAGTTGTACCTAATAAAATGTCCACTGTAAACTTGCCATTAAAAATGGTTTTATACTTGCAGTATTTGGAAAAGTTTTTGAGTCATTTACCATTAAAAAGTGCAACTTTTGCTGGTATGAGACCAAAAGTAAAATGAAATACAGACAGCAGAACAGAATGACTAAAACATAT